ATCTAAGTGTAATCCCAAAGCAACGGATATAGTGCAAACACATGTAGATTTCCAACAAACTACTATGTGTGTTGGGAAAGATGACAACATAGTCTCTAAATAGTATTATCCCTACTTTAAAGGTCAATCATCTCTTGACCTCCTGCTTTCTGGACCACATTTGTTGAAACTGAATATCTAGGGGTGGGGAATGGGTATACATGTTTGTTTCACAAACTCTACTCAGGATTTTCCAATGCTAAATTTTGAAATCTATTGCTCTATTTTTTCCCAGCCCTAAAATTCTGGTTCTGTGAGTCTCAGTATTTGAGTATGCTTTAAACTGACAAACCATTTGTAATATAATGGGTGTATCAACTTGTTTTAAGAATTTTCTAACATAATTAGGCCATATAATTTCATGACTTCAGTTTAGGAAAAACAAGGGGGAGCTGGTTATAGGTAATCTCTGGCAAAGACATAAGGATATCATATTAAGAAACTCACTGATAACCCAAATATATTGTTTGATTTAGCCTTTTCTCCATCAAATATATCAGAGCTGATTCCATGTAGCCAACAAATTAGCAAAGTCAATTGACCTTATTTCATTTGTTTCCCCTTTCCTTGTCCACTCTGTATTGGTATCATGTCATAAAATTGTGGAAAGGATCCACATTATGCATAACTTGAGGAATGAGTCCCTGAGTAGTGGAGGTAATTCTATTCTATTGCCAGAAATATGGAACTAATAATTCTGGACTAGCTCCGTCTACATGCAGCTAGATAAGCAGTCTCTTACCTAGCCAGTAGGTGGAGGCACACACAAACTTACTGCTCTGCTCTTTGATCCACAGGACCTGAAATCTTGCAATAATCAATGGTTTTGATCGCTTGTCTCTTTTTTTAAACTCAGAAGATCAAAGAGAATGCAAAAAGCTGGGGTGAATTTATGAAAAATCATGATACAAAAAACAATTTTATATTTCTATTTTGTTTCTGACCCTTTTGAGAAATAACAAAGTAATTAAAAAATTTTTTTAAAAACATATCTTTATTGATTTCAGAGAGAGGAAAGGAGGGGGAGAGAGAGAGAGAGAAACAGCAATGATGAGAGCCACTGATCGTCTGCCTAGCCCGCAACCCGGGCCTGTGCCCTGACCAGGAATCGAATCTCGATTGCCTGGATCCTAGGTTGATGCTCAACCGCTGAGCCACGCCCGGCTGGGCCAAAGTAATTTTAACTATGAATTTATAATCTACTGCCAGATCCCTAGAGCTAATAAAACAATTCTAAACTTAGAAATATATCCTTTAAAATTCATGTTCAATCAGGAAAACTGAACATCAATTGAATATATGATATTAAGACATTATTATTGATTTTGCCAGGTATGATAATAGTATTATGGTCATTTTTAAAAAGTCCTTAACTGTTAGAAATGTAAACAGGAGAATTTATACTTGAAATGACACTGTTTTAGAAATCTCCAGGAGGTAAAAAAGACAACAGTAAAGGATAGGCAGGAAAAGAATAACAAAATATTGATAACCGTTGAAGCTGGGTGACAGGTACACTGAGGTTCATTATAGTATTCTCCTTTTATTTAAAAATTCCCAAAATGGGTTAAAAATTCAAATAGAAATTTATGTTCTAGTGATCTGGGTTAACACTGGGATCAGGTGCTATTAGGACTGGTAAAAATGCAATTTTAATGAGGTCTCATCTCATTATGAATTATTTCAATTAACTGAATCATATAAAATGAGAGCGATATAAAATCTCATATAGATTTCAACACAGAAACTAAAACTAACCTGTTCAGTCTACTGAAAACAATATCTTATAGCTGTAGAGCGCTTTACCATTTCATAAAGAGTAAATTCACATAGTTTTCTCACCTAGTTCTCATAATCTTATGAAGATTTTAAAGATAAGACACATGAGTCTCTAAAAGACTTGGCCAAAGTCACACAATAAAAATGACATAGTTGGGATACTAAACCCAGTTTTCTGACACCAAAGACCATTTTCTCTCTACTGCTCTTAGATCCTTTTGAAACAAATAGCAGACAGGATGAAATTTAAGCAAATTTTGATTTCTATGTTCACTACTTTATAATATACGATGAAACCTATTTTTTACCTTTCTCAGTGAATACAAATTTGGACAGAAACACATTTCTTGAATAAAGAATAAAATTTAACCAGAAAAAGTGTTTAAAAGAATTACAATATCACTCTGGCTGGTGTGGGTCAGTTGGTTGGGGCATCGTCCCATGCACCGAAACGTGGCCATTTCGATTCCCAGTCAGGGCACGTGTGGGAGGCAGCCGACTGATGTTTCTCTCTCACCTTGATGTTTCTCTCTCTCTCTCTCTCTCTCTCTCTCTCTCTCTCTCTCTCTCTCTGTCTCTGTCTCTCAAATCAATTAAAGGCAGAAGAAAAGAATATAATATCTTAAAATCAGAAGGGACGTTAGAGGCTCTCTCTAGTCCGAAATTAAAACCTTATCTTCACCCCCTGCATGGATCCAGCTTGAGCTCGGGTGTCTCTAGTGAAGAATGTGCACTCTGTGAGGCGGCCTATTTTCATTTGTGCAGTTCGTCTAATCATTAGAGGCTTTCATTGCTTAGAGGTGAACTCTAGCTGCCAACCTTGTTGATCCCAGTTACAACCCTGACCCTACACTGAATACACATATGATCCTCTTTCAAATGACAATCTTTCAAATAACTGAAGATACTCATTATGTTCTACCATGGGCTTCTGCTCTGAGGACTCTTTTAGCAGAAAAAGAAAACCAATAGATTCTTGGGTAACTAAAGCCCCCCAATCTTTTCAATTGCTCTTCCATGCCAGTGGTCTTCAAACTGGGACCCAAGTATCACTGGGAGTACCCAAAGCTCTTCCAAGGGATTAGGGTATTTTTAAGGCAATCAATTTCCATATCTTCATTTACCGTAATTTGGTCTATCTGAAAACAAGTCTGTGGTCTAATGATTTCCTTTTACATCTCCACTCACAGGAACTCATCTAAATTGACAAACCACTCATCTATCCTGAGAAGTCCACCTAGCTTCAAAGAGACAACAGGGGAATGGAATGCAAATCTCCCGAGGGAAGGAGAGAACCTTGAGAGCAAAACAGAACACTTGGGAAAGAAAGGGGAGAGCCATCCTATTCCATCCAGACAATATATTCATGGCAAAGCCTGATCCATTTTAGAACTAGAAATCAACAGCAACATGACAGTCACAGGGATGTCTATTAACACTTTAATTTTATTTGAAAAATGAAGTCAGATTTTTGTCTGTCAGAAAGTGAGTCTGATTTGGCTCACTGGTTTGACAATGATGACTAGTTTTGCCATGTAGGTCACATAGCAGACATAAATTGAGATAAAGATGCAGCTCTACAGGTTTGAAGAAAACATTTAAAACAATATAGGAGACACTGAAAATTACAACCTCACAATAAAAGTTTTTGTATGTCAACTTAAAAATATGTGAGGAGGTACAAAGTTTTCAAAATTCTTTTAGTAGGCTTGCCAACAAAGATTTTGAAGGCTCAGACTCTATGACAGAATTTCTAGGCTCTTTCCCACCCTGGTTATCCCCTCCCCTTCTGGAAGCATGCCAGTGTCCTGCTTACTATGAACATGCCAGGAGAATGAGCAGTGTACAATACAGCAGGAGTGTGGCTGGTTCTGAATACCATGTACTTATAATTAATGTAGTCAAAGGTTCCATTCAGAGCTGTTAAAGCTCTGTTGCAACAACTAACTAAAATGTTTATATCTTTTTCACCTAAGCAGTTACAACTAAATTCACAGTGAACTTGCACTTACATACTTGAATGAGTAAGTTTACATTAACAGGCCTTAAATTTCATCTTCTTTGTTTCCGCTCCTTTGCTGCAAACTTGTGAAATATTTTAAAATTTTGATCTAGCTATTCAATGTATTAGCTAGCCCTCTGTGGGAGTAGCTTTTGACACAGTTCCCAGTGATCACTACCTCCTGGTATTCACAGCCTTGTGCAATTCCTTCCCCTTGTGTGTGGGCTGGATCTCGTGACTTGTTTCTAACTAATAGAATATGGCCAGAGTGCTGGTGTATGATTTCTAAGATTAGGTTTCAAGATTGATTTCAGTTTTGCCCTCTTGCTTGCTCGCTCTGATGAAGCCAGTTGCCATTTTGTGAGGTGCTCCATGGAAGGACCTGGTTACAAGGAACCTAGAGTAGCCTCAGGCCAACAGCTCATGAGGAACTAAGGCCCTCAGTCTAATAGCCTAATGCCAACAACCATGTGAGTGAGTTCGGGAGCAGATTTATGCCCAGTGGTGCCTTAGAATGACTTTAGCCCTGGCCAGCTCCTTGATTACTACCTTGTGAGAGACCCTAATCAATGTCACTGATAAAAATAGGATGGCACCCCATAAAGGATATAATCTCTGAACACGATCATCTAACCAGCTATAAAATTACCCAGTTGTCCTCTCCTTAGCTCACATTTCTCTATCTTACTGACAATAATTCTGTGAGAAATAGGTCAAGTGGCTTATTGAATCAAGATACACTGTTATCTGCAGAATTTCCTTCCTGTGCCAACACGGTGATCGTATCAAAAGAGGAAGTTAAGCGTGTTATTACCTGTTTTTAGTTGCTAAGAGAGGCTTGCTACATGGAGGCCTCCAGTGCCATCCTACTCCTCTCCACTAAGACTCCTATGATCAGAATTTTCTATTTTGGGGCCTTTTATCTCTCTGAACTCTTTCTTTTTAAAGCCTCTTCTCCGAAGTATGCTAAAAATGTGAGGGTTACTAAATATGACCAACTTTTGCTTCCTCAGCCACTGTGAACCTTAAGATGAGATAATCCTTTTATTCTTATTACTTTAGATCTTTCTAAATAGATGAGTTCACAATTATTATTAAATTTTAAAAGAAGGTATTAGTGTTATCCAAAACCAACACTGCTTAAAACTTTAACCCTTAAGAAAATAAAATGTACACTCACAATTCAAAAACCATGTAAAGCATTCCATCTGAGCTATATGTCTCCAGTAACTCTACAATGTGGGGATGTTTCAGCATATGACAGATACTGGCTTCCCGCTTTAGATCTGAAAAACAAACACACAACATACTTTGTTAGGTAGGAACAAAAGACAACCAGAGTGAATAATGAATGAATGGATATGATCTATGGTAACATGAAGACTTCTCTAACTAAAGAGATGAAATCCCCCATTTAAGCTAAGCCTAACTTTTCACCCTTTAAACTCGTTGACACTAACTTTTCCATGTCTTTTGCCACCTTAAATCTATATACATTATAGAGTAGCCTCTTATTAATAAAAAATATAAATAGCACACTTTCCCGAAACTCTTATAATCAAGTTTTGAAATTTATAATTCTTTCTTAATCTGCTAATAAGTAACTCAATTTGCTGTTTTGAATTTTACCTCTTTTTCTTCGTTTTCCCTAAAATGGATAAGAATATGTTGTCTATTCTATAGCCTAAAATAGAGCATTAATAGACATATCATAGAAGTTATATGGAATAGGGGGGGCAAAAAAAGATTATGGTTTAAACAGAAAAGATACTCCCAGAGTCAAAGTCAGAAATTTTTTTTCATCCTCTATAAAATGTGTTGGATAATTCAGGTCAATACCTACAGTGTTATTCTGAAGAACAAATTCAGATAATGTAGGTAAGACCAGTGTGTAAGTTCTACAACACTATTTGGAAAATAAAACTATTAATATCATCATCATATGAAAACAGTTTGGGTACAGGTATCACTTGCCATGTGTACATGGAACAAGATAATTAAAGCATTCCTGTGTAGATTGTGCTGGGGTTTTACCTGTTTGGATGAATACAATCCAGTAAGACATTTTTATATTTGGAAGTAGAAGGGAGACAGGTAAAGAAGAACAAAGGGTAAGAATACATTGCCCAAAGCAGAGGAGATAACATCTCCTCTCTGATTTATTAATCCAACTTAGTCTTGTCAAGAAGAGCAATGGCTGAAGAGGGAACCATAGAAGACTTACGTAAGGGGAGAATGAAGAAAGCAAATCAGTAAATTAGACAGAAGAGAAGCTACCAGAAAAGGAATCAATAACACAATATTAAGAAAGTCCAGGGAGCAGAGGGAATTAAGGCATGAGTAGTTGCAGAAGGCAGAGAAAAGGTTGTAAGATTCGGCCAGAAAAGACCACTAGCATTCTGGACAAGATGGAGTTCTGTGGAGAGGTCAGGTTTGAGGTCAGCATGCAGGAGATAACTGAGTAATGGTAAATTGAAATTTGTCATGTCTCTCACTGGGCTAAGTACTTAATAAAGTCTGTCACATACTGTCCCAACAACCCTGTGGGGTAGGTATTTTACAGATAAGGAAACGGTTGAAGATTGCATAGCTATCACAAGGGGTAGCTTTGAGCCCTGGCCTCTCCAATGCCATGATGATGGGTTTAGACATGATAAGGTTAGAAGAATCTGGCAGTAGGAAAGGAATAGAAATGTCAAAGGAGGTTTGATTGTCTGATTTTGCTGTTTTTACAGGAAACACTCTGTGTGTTTGTAAGTGGCAGTGATGAAAAGCCCACAGGATCTGCAGTCGGGAAACTTGGTGCCAGGCCTGCCTCTGTCATTGCTCCGTGCCGGCCAACTGCTAACCTCTACAAACGCCTTCCTTACTGCAAATGAAATGGGGAACGTGGCAGGGGATGTAGGACCTGCAGAGTCTGCTAAATCGACCTCAGAGGGCAGTGGTAACAGTCAAACGAGAAAATGGATGTGAAAGGACAGTGTGAGTGCAGCACTGTGGGGCTGAGGGGGAAGGTGGCTCAGTGTTCATTGTAAAGGAAGAGATGGGACATACGTGAAGGATGGTCTCCATCCCCTGAAGTGGTTGGTAAGGTCCTGCCGGGAAGGAGAGGTGTGAATCAGGTGTGGGTTTTCTCTTGGGAGTCGTAACTGCGAGGAAGGCTTTTGACAAGTGTGCTGGAGGGCCAGGCTGAAGCCGAACAACATAAATCAGATGCCTGCAGTTTTTCTGTCCCTTCAAGAATGTTCTCTCTCCAGATGCTATGAAAAGCTTAGGAGTTTTGGTATTTGTTTTTATGTTTGCCTCTAGCTTCTCATTTTATTAGAAGTCACCCTTTTAATACATTCCGTTTTTACCTTAGTTTCTCTCTTTCCATTTCTTTCTATTCTGATATAAAAGCTGATTTTAACTCAGTGCTCTGACATTGGAGTCAAGAAGTAAATAGAGACTTAGTGCTTGCCACACTGAAAACTGGTCTTTTCTCCCGTTTTCAGTTTATTTTTTATTTTGCCCCTTTTATGTAACTACAGTGTGTTTTAGTCCCCACACTCACCATTTGCCATATGCCACATTTGTTCTGAAAGAGTGAAAGTAGACGTGAATGCACTAAAGAACCTCCCATTTGAACTTGCACATTACTGCTTGGTATGTGGCTGAACATGCTCCTGGTCTAGTCACTATCATCTATCCACCCTCAAAACGAAGACAGAAGTGCTGGGGACCCTTCCTTCAAAGATTAAAAACATTTAAATGTCACATTTAAAACATTTAAATGTGACATTTCAGTTTCTAAAATCAGATCACTAATTGAATAGCACAAAGTTAACAACATAAAAATATATTTGAAATTATAAGAGCAATGACGCATAAGTTGGCTTACATCTAGGATAACTGTGGCACCATTTCCCATAACTCAAGTATTGATTAAATGGGAGTATTAAAAATCCCAAATAGAAAATCATGGTTTGAAAAACACAAATGTATTATATATATGCATTTTAACTATAGATTCCAAGAATATTAAACTTGAAATGTTTGTTTTAGAATACAAATGTAAATTAAAGATATATGTATTAAGTGTTATTAATTCCGTGCTGATATAGCAAACTAAAAATTGAGGCATACCTCGTTTTATTGCGCTTTCATTTACTGCAATTCACAGATGTCATGTTTTTAATAAATTGAAGGCAATACTCCCCCAACCCCAGCAAAAAGATTACAGACTCGAGTTATTGTGGTGGCCTGGAACCAAACCCGCCGTATCTCCGAGGTATGTCTGCGTTTGCCTACAAATCCACTCATGAGGCAGAGTAGGAAAGAATGAGAAAGTAGATGGTAATAATATGATTTGAAATAGAGATTATCTGACTGCTCAGAGATACTAGCACAGAACATTCCTGTGGGTGACCTGAGGTGGAGTTATGGATGTTTGGAAGTGCTGCTTTTTCTATAGTTAACTGGTAACTCTCTCCACTGTTCCTTGTGCTTTTTCCTTTTCTAACTTCTCAGGGAAATTTTAAAAGATTTAAAAATAAACTACTTCTATGTTTGGTGCCCTTATATTTAACTATATGCCTATATTTTATCAATTTATTTCCCTTTAAAAGGGTCACTAGTAGTATGGAGAGTAATACTTAATTTTCTGACCAAAATTTTCTGACCTCAAAAACACACAACTTAAATCAACTTGCTATATGGCATAAAAACTCCTACTCCTACTCCTATTATTACTACTACTAGTTTCCTAAGACATCTGGGCCTAAAATTTTTAAAAACAATTTCCCTGGAAAGTACTCACTTATTCATTGCACCACTAGTTGCTCTTGTGATAGAATTCTTTCTAGTCTCTTTTAAATGTTAGATGCTACTTTGAGAATGTCACAGTTCTGTAAGAAGTTAATTTAACTATGGGTCAAAAATAATTTGGGTATTTACAAGTATGATTAAAGGAATGATTTATGACATTCTTAGCATTGGATTAGCAATCTTGACCTCAGTATATAAAAGATCTAAATTTAAGTTAGCTTGCCCAGAACCATTCAAAAAGGATTTAGATCAGCACCATCTAATAGAAATATATTGTGAGCCATATATAAAATTAAAAAGTAAAAACAGGTAAAATCTATTTTAACATATTTTATGCAATCCAATATATCCAAAGTATTATTCCAACATATAATCATATTAAAAATTATTAATGAAAAAAGTTACATCCCCTTTTTGTACTAAGTCTTTGAGATCCAGTGTGTGTTTTATATTTACAGCACATTTCAATTTGTACCAGCCACATTTCCAGTGCTCAGGAGCTACATGTGGCTAGTGGCTACCACACTGGAATGGTGCAGCTCTACATAAATTGACTTTCCCAATATGAATTCTTCAGCATTTTGTATATAGTTATTTGTAAAGTCATTAAAAAAAGAATTTAAACTAAAACAGATGTGTTTTTATAAAAAATTACTTCCATGGAGGGAAATGCTACAGCTTCTTTGAGTAACCTAATTCCATCACTTAATAATTAAATCAGAAATTTCCCCTCTATTCTTAATCTACATCCTTTAATTTTTAATTAGTATATCTTGCTTAACCTATCAAACATGCAAAAGGTAGTGAACATCCACTGTATAATAGCCCTTTGTACATTTCAGAATTTATTGAATGACCTTAGACTATGCGGTGCAACATTTGTTTACCATGCTACATTTGAGATTTTAAGTGCCCCCTATAAGTCTTTATTTCATAACTATAATAATAACCCTTCAAGATAAATATATCTATTCCCACCTTACAGAGGAAGAAACTGAGGCCCCAGGCTCAGTGAGATAAAAAAGTTGTTGAAATCACACAGTACTAAACAGAGGAAGCAGGACTAGTAACCGAAGTCTAGTGCTCTTTATATCACACCACAATGACTCCTGGAGCTGCGTAGTTGCCATGTGTGCCCTAAAGATCCAATCACACAATAGTGCTAATGTGGTAACAATGACTTGGGTGAGAAGCTATCACGACTGATACAGAATCAGCTTATTTCAGCTGCACTGTGGTCAGAAACTAGACACTGATCTTCCCTGACAAATACATAAGAATTCTCATTCGTTTCTAAACAATTTCCAGGTTGTGTTAGAAACTCAATAGTTAACAAAACTCACTAAGAGCTGACCCAGCCTTCAAATGCACATAAAGAATATATTCTAATCTAGTTATAGAAATAATTAGGACAAGTAATAATGTGCTTATTTAAATCCCATTATTGACTCAACATTTTTTTCCTTGGTGTACTGAAATTAATGACCATATGATATTTTAAGACAGAAATCCAAGCAGAACCTTGGAAGGATTGTACAGGGTGGGCCAAAAGTAGGTTTACAGTTGTGAGTATGTGAAACACAGAGTTTATTTTGGTATTATTTATTTATTAAATATTGTATTATTTTCCATACACACAACTTTAAACCTACTTTTGCCCTACCCTGTAGCAGCAAAGTCAAATTCTGTTGCTGAGTTCCACCTTTATCTAACAATCAAGACTAAAGATCCCAGCTGCCTTTGGCAATCATACAGGTCAGGTTGGCTTTAATGAGGCTATCTTCCTATAAATCAGGAGAGTTGACCTCAGCTAGTGGCTGACCAAAAGCCCAGACAGGCCCACACACCAGTCTGGGTTCACTGCAAACTCTATTTGTCTGAGCTTTTACACATTTTACTACCTCCCTATACATTTTATTATCTTTTTTCACATACAAAGAAATCCAAGCAGCTTCTAATTTCTTTGAATTTTTGCCCATTTAAAAAAATCCTATGGCCTAAAACCTGATCTATCAAGTGAATAAAAAAAGGATGCAGCATACTACTGAGAATGTCCGATTGTCCAAAATTTTTTCTTAAATAGGCAAAAGTATTAGTTAGAAGTCAATCTTAACTGCATGAAGCATTTACAGATTAATGAGGCTTTGTAATATATTTCCCAAAGAATTTCCAGTTCTGATAAGTACAACGAATGTATTAAAGCAGCCTGTCCAGCTGAATACCAAATTCAAAGTAAACTCAGCATTATATTTATAAATAACTATTAGCTGTAAAATATAATAAAACCAATTATGGTGAGAACTACTTTTCTTCCCTCTCACTCTTCATTAGGATGGATTTGGTAATTATCTAAAGTACCATTTTAAAAACTGCTATACTTTTTCTTTTTTCTTTTTGGTTAATCCTCACCCAAGGACATTTTTCCATTGATTTTTTTAGAGAAAGTGGAAGGGAGAGAGAGACAGAAACATGGATGTGAGAGAGACACATTGACTGGTTGCTTTTTGCATGCAGGATCGAGTCTGCAACCGAGGTACATGCTCTTGACCGGAATTGAACCCAGGACCCTTTAGTCCAAGGGCCAACGCTCTAACCACTGAGCCAAACCGGCTAGGGCAAAACTGTCCTTCTTAATCAATACTGAAGTACTATAAATCATTGAGCTTACTAATTAGATATTAATAAAGATAACAGGTGGCCAATTCAATGATCTTTACTAATATTTATCTTACGAGGTGTTAAAAGGTCCTAAAAGAAGAACATTTGCTTAAAAGGCATTTGTAGATAAGAGCCAACAAATTAGGTTAAAAAGAAATCAAATCATTTGTCCTTTAGAAGATATAACTCTCGAGTCTCCTATTCAAGCTGTTACTCAGCCATGAATTTGGTGAAAATCTGTTTTGGACTCACCCAGTAAAACAGAAAGGTGTTAATGATATAGACTGAAATCCCAGTCAAATGAAGATCTAGCATTAGAATGTTTCTCAAATATCTGAGTGGTCATCATTAAGGTCCTATTTTGTACATGATAAAAATAGAAATATAATATTCTATGCATCTCTAGAAGGTCCGATTCCTCTGCTGCTTTTTGTGTTGAGGAATATAAACCGAAATGCTCTACGAAACAGGGAGCAAGATGGGGCCTTTTATCCTTATACAAACCAGACCCTACTTCAAAACTGTGCTCCTGCGTTTGTAAAAGAAAATCCGAGAGGTACCAGTTTACGCCTCAATACTTTTCAATATTAAAGCCTTAAGAAACATACATGTTAGAAGCATGAAGGAACTTTGCGGGATGATAGAGTATATAATATTTGTTAAAGCTCATTTACCTGTACACTTAAATAGGTTCCTTTTATTGTGCACACATTTTTATTCAATAAAGTTTAAAAAGTAAGTTGTTGCAATAAGGAATTCAACAAATATGTCTAAGTCAAAAATGTTATTCACATACCTGCATTTTCTACTTTCTTAATTATGTTATCTATATTTACATTCTATATTTATTTACTGCCGGTAGAGTAGTTCAACAAGGTTATGTGGCAAGATAAGCTTCCTTACTACCCACTTCCCCTGACACCTCCTTTCTCTGGGATGGGACCAGGCCAGGAAATCTATCAGCAGGCCCAAAAGTCTCCCCAGAAAGCAAGTTGTAGTCTGTTTTAATATATAAATAAATGAAGGATGGAGGTCAAGATTCTCCATGGCACGGTGAAATAATTATCAAAGTTTAAAAAAATAATATGGGTTTCCCTGTCCAGCAGTAGAACCATTTTCTCAAAAAATCTCACAAAAATAGTAAAAAACAGCCCGGCTGGCATGACTCAACAGTTGAGCATCGACCTATGATCCAGGAGGTTGAGGTCTGATTCCCAGTCAGGGCACAGGCCCGGGTTGTGGGCTCGATCCCCAGTAGGGGGTGTGCAGGAGGCAGCCGATCAGTGACTCTCTCTTTTCATGGATGTTTCTATCTCTCTCTCTCCCTCTCCCTTCCTATCTCTGAAACCAATAAAGACATATTTAGAATAAATAGTAAAAAACAAATTTATAGTAAACTACAGTATCAATATATGACACATTTTGAAATGAATCAATAAAAACAATAAGCTAATTGTTTTGATAAACAACAACTTGAAATCAGGGATTATGGTTGACCCTGCAGACTCCTGGTCTCAGCCACCAAATTATCTCTATATTTTATTTTGTTGGTCTACTGCCAAAATCCTAATTTATATGGATAGCTGTGAATGGCTAATAGGAGTGTGAAATTTAAATAGCTTGCCTTTTAATCTTAATTTAAAAAAAAAACTGATAAAGAAGCCTCAAAGAGTAGTAATAGAATTTTTTTGTTCCAAAGTGGAGTCACTGGTAGTAGCTGAAGAGTGGCAGAGAGGACACTTTTTATACACAGTGAAATTCTGGACTAAGAGAAATATCGGGAATTCTGAAAAGGCTATATTTCTCCTTGTTTCAATAAAAACTTAAGTAAATAATATACTGCTTTACCCTTAGAATAAACTGTCTTTTTTTAATCTTTTCTATAAAACCAGGAGGCAGCATATTTAAGTACCTGAGAATGTGACAGCTATCTAGATCAGCAATTTTTAACTTATTTGGGGCCAGAAACCATTTTATAAATCTGTAAAAGCGATAGATGCTCTGCTCCAAAAGATTTTACAGTAAAATTTAAGGGAAACACAAAAACCCAAGAGACTGATCTAGATACTGATGTTCAAGGATTAAGAAAATAACAGATAATCATCTAACCCATCTCCTTGAGGACACAAGAGCACTGCTGAGACTGGAAAGTCAGAAACATTAGTTTCTTGTATATCCAAATAATGGGCACATTTTGAAGATAACTATTAGTGAGACAAAAAACAATACATAAGTATATCCCCCAAATCATTTTAGCCTCTGCCCCAAACCTAGCACTTTACTGTGTGAAATGCACGAAACCACCATAAAGTGTATTTTTTTGGTTAATCCTCACATGAAGATATTTTCTCCACTGCTTTTCAGAGAGTGGAAGGGAGGGAAGGAGTGGGGGGAGAGAGGAGAAACATCAATGTGAGAGAGATACATAGACACATCTACTGGTTGCCTCTTGCACCCGCCCAGACTGGACAGTGAACCCACAACCCAGGTACGTTCCCTTGACTGGAAATCACACTGGCAACCCTTCAGCATGCCTACCGAAGCTCTAACCACTGTGACACACTGGCCAGGGCCATAAAGTGTATTTTTCTTCTTTTTTTTTTTTTTGAAAAATTACAAAAAGTTCCCTTGGGGACATTCCATGTGGCCCAATATCCTGTTTCCCATCTTGATATCAAAACAACATACATTGGTTAGTTATTAGAGTATAATGTTTATACACATTAAATAAATATAGTTTTCATTTATGCTAAGGGTTTTCCCTATTTGTTGTAGGTTAAATGCCAGAAAATCTATTTCCTTACTCTTTAAAGAATTTACATTTACAATCAACCTGCTTTCTTTATTTTTTCTTCACAGCTCTTTTGCCATTTCATCAAACTCGGAATGGGTAAAATATAAGTTTCCCTTTGTTAGAAGTGGAGGCTTCTCGCACCTGATTCACAGAGTTGAGTGCAATCCCAGCAAGGCAGGACGTTTAGAGCCACTGAAAAGAAGTACAAGGAAGTAAAGCAGGGCCTTAACCTCTCTTCACTTAAGAATCAATTGTCACTTAGTAGTAACAAAAGGCCTAATTCACGTTTCAATATTATGAAAAACAAAGACAATCAGTATCTTATTTAGCTAATTCTAGATAATGATTTATTTTATACAAGTGACTTTTCCAGAAAGGGTACCAACTCAGGGACCTTCCAGTTGTAGTTCTGAAAGTTGTGTGTCCTGTGAACCTGTCCTCAGTCCTAGGCACCCTATTTCCACAGATCTGACACTTATCCTTTTAAATGCTAACACTCTTCTGCAGGGATGCACTTATGATATAACAGATAGAACAACAGACTTGTCAAAAGGACCCTCTTTAAATCTTGTCTCCATCACTTAGTAGCTGTATAACCTTAGAACATCAGTTCCCTCACTATAAAATGGAAAGAGTAGGAGAAAAGCTCCCACACTGGGTTGTAGTTAGCCCTTAATGATTAATAAAGTACATGAGCACGGGCAGTGTGGCTCAGTGGTTGAACATTGACCTATGATCCAGGAAATCCTGGTTCGATTCCCCATCAAGGCACATGGCTGGGTTGTGGGCTGGATCCCCAGTGGGGGTGGGGGTGCAGGAGGCAGCCGATCAATGACTCTCTCATCGTTGATGTTTCTCTTTCCCTCTCCCTTCCTCTCTCTGAAATCAATAAAAACATATTAAAAAAAAAAAAGTACATGAAAGTGTTTGCCATGGCACATGACACAGAACATGTGCACAAGTTTTGTTTCCTTTCCCTTTGACCATTTTTGGTGGAAATCATTTTTTCGTACCTTTACCAAATGTCAATCAAGCCAAGTGGGATGACAAGAAGTTGGGGATGTGAACATTCAATTATTAAACCACACTGCTATATAGTTCTAAACCTACTTTTATTTTGCAGTTTTTCATCTGCAATTCTTGGGGGAATCGTGTAATAGCTCAAGAAGAACTGAATCTGAAGTTGACCGCGGAATTATTTGGAAAAAAAGTAAAAATCAGGTACAGTTGAAGTGTCTAGTAATAATGACACTAGTTTAAAAAAGTAAAACAGAAGCCACATAGCTGCATGGGTGTGGCCTACTGACTATCAGCATCATTATTCTTCCAGACAGCCCTTGGAGTCACCCTCAGACCGACTACTCCTTCTCTTCTACGGATTCCTATACGCAGCTGCCCAGACCTGTCCATTCTATTTCTGCAACACCTGTCAAAACAATCTGCCCCATACTTTTCTTACCCTAGTTTCAATCCTCATGGATTCTTGTCTAATCACAGTGAAGAATTTTTAATGGATTCTTTGCTTCCACTTCCTTCTTTTCATTTTACTCATTAAATTGTCATCAGTTTTACTCTAAAACAGATATTACTATATTACTCCAAAAATCTTTGTGCTCTCCATTCCCTACACCAAGATGTATAACCCCTCAGCTTGGATCTGAAAGCCTTCCAAAACTGTTGTTTTAAGTCAAATAACTTAACTGGGGTCCAAAGAGCTATTTAGCAACATAAATGAAAACAGAACCTAGTTTTCCTGCTTCTTAGTCAAGTAGTTTAGGTTTCTTTTTTGGGGGGTGTCACTCATATTACATTCCTTTCCAGCTTCTTCCATCATTCTCCCTGATCCCTATCCTGAACTACTTGCAGCTTGTGCACGCCACCCCCCACACTCTTTGCTCCTGAAAATGTTGCTCCCTCTGTTTGACTCCCCGTGTTTCCTTCTTTGCTGCTAAATCCCAACTCAGTCATCAAAATTACACTCACACTTTGCCTCAAAGTTCTCCTTACCATTCTCCCCCCAGATGAGGCAGGCCTACCCTGCTGTGATCTAACAACACTCCCTATACAGGCCTCAATATCTCAGTATTTATCAAACTGTATGATGGCTGGTGATTTACATTCTGCCAACTTTGAAGGCAGCACCAGACACCCAGAATTCATTTGACCAATGTTTATTACATCTTCTTTCTCACATCAAAGTATATATTATCACTAATCAGAGAGCACTAGAAATGGGAGGGACAGTAATAGAGCCATTTGTCACATGCTCCTCTCTATCCTCACATTTGTAAGGGAAATGAGGCCATACGAAGGCAAATGATATGCCCAAAGTCACACAGCTAGTTCACAACACAACTGGAAGATGAACCCAGGTCTCTGATTCCCATCTAGTAAACTTTCTGCTAACCTATACCATATTGGAAAGGGACTCTAAAAATGTTCAATATTGGAGGCAATCTACATCCACACTGTCTAAAGAATTTTCAGAGAATGACCCCCCCCCAAATAATACCACCTACTTGCAGTAACTGGGTGTTAATGTTATTCTGTAATATATTACCATGACTTAAAATAAAAAACTTCAAGGTACTCCCATTACTGAATGACTAGTTTTAAACAAAAGTAATATATGCCTGCCCGGCTGGTGTGGTGCAACGGTTGAGCACAGACCCAGGAAACAAAAGGTCACAGGTTCGATTCCCAGTCAGGTCACATGCCCCAGTTGTGGGCTCGAGCCCCAGCAGGAGGTGTGCAGAAGGCAGCTGATCGATGATGATGATGATGATGTTCTCATTGATGTTTCTATCTTTCTATCCCTCTCCCTTCCTCTCTCTCTAAACATTAATAAAAAACATATTAAAAAAGCAATATATGCCTAACATTTCTATGTCACTGCATAGTATATGTACTATATTATTTAATATCATAAATTATATAACCAAAAGGTCTAGTTTTGAAAAAATAATTAATATTTAAAGTTTCATATAAATTTAAACTATTTCTTAAATCCATTTATATATGTGGATCTTGTCTTTGGTTAATTATTCAGGAATGATTTTATTAGGTTAAATGATCACAACTCCAAAAAAGGCAGGTTTATGAAAAAAAAAAAGCACATCTAATTTACTTCCACTAGAGGATACTAAAGATCAAATAGCTAATTGGACAAACCCTATCACCAAGATCTCTGTCTATAAATAATATTATTGGTCTTGATAATATAATACACAGATGAGATAATTATTTGCCTTTGAGATATCTAACAACAATAACCATAAGCTAACATCTTCTGAGTACCTACTATGAGTCAGGCTCTATTTTAAATGTGTCCACTCATTCAAACCTCACTATAACCCTCAAAGGCAGATGATACTCATTTTACATATGAGGAAGCTGAGGCAGGGAACAGTTAAGTAACTCACTCACACAACCAATAAACTGCAGAGCAAGGATTTGAACTTAGGCAGTCTGGCCCAAGTACCTATACTTTTGACACTCAGTTATATTGCGTCTTGGGTCTACAACTACTCAATTCTGAAGATGAACTTTACAGGTAAGCTATTTCTTTGTATTATTTCTAAAAACTGAAATATAAAGTTGTGATGAAAGCACAGTTCAATCAGAGCAAATTTCAGTACTAAAATCATAATACCGTTTAAAAAATCTTTGTTTAGTCCTTTCAAGTCACCTGATTTTATTTTTGAAAAACTAGTTTGCTATAAGATACAGAATTATTAAAAATACAATGACTAGGCAGGCTTCTGAAATGACTGTGTGAGCTCAGGGAAACCTCCCCTCTCACCACCCCCTCACCCAGACATACATTACCTGGTCAAACTGAACAATCATTCAAAGTCTCCAGAGACTGATTAAAGCACTTAGAACAAAGTGAGAAGCCCTTATTCAATAAGATCTACAGAAACTTGGTAAGAACATTGGGAGGCTGTGCATACAGGATAGGAATTGCATCCATATCCCATAGCTCTTTGCCCTGTAGAGGGGCTGTTCTAAGGGGCCCAGCAGCTGAGTGGCAGATCAGCTCCTTGAGGTGGAAGAGCTATTTAAATTTTGCAGCTGGTGAAAATGGGTAGCACCCATCCCCTTGTCCTAACTCCAGCTAAATACAGATTATACAGGTGGGGCAGCTGGTAAAGAGTGTAGACCCCCTTTCCTGCATAGCTCTATTGCTGCAAGAGAGCTACAGAGGTGGGCTTGGCAGTTGAGTGGCAGCTCCCATCTCCTTCAACTTCCTAGGCAGAAGAATTAGTCCAAGTACATTTAGCACCTGGTAAACATCAGCAGATGTCTTCCACCCTGACTGTGGGGGTGAAAGATCCATATTGAGTGGTAGCAGCCGCCAGAATGGGGCACCAGTTCATGCCTCCCACCCCCATCCAAAATACAAAGTCCTGCTCCACGGGGAGGATTTGGGTGAAAACAGCCAGTGAGGAGTGAATACCCCATTCCCCCCAGCTCTTGTTCCATAGTGAAGAGGGGAGGGTACAGCAAGCATCACAGACTAGCAAACCTTGCCCCTCACAAGGGGATCAACTTTAATCGTATCAGACTATGGCACAAATTATACTATAGGGCATTATAAAAAACAATAGACCAATCAGCTAGCAATTTAGCACATTGTGATACCAAAAGAGGTAGATCATCTTAATGGGAGATCAGGGGAAAGACAGTCAAAGAGGGGCCATTTAAAGCCAGTCATTCCAGATGGTCAGGAAGGTTGTGCTCATGCCCAAGGCTGCTGCCTTTGGGGACAGACATCAGAGGTTGCACTGAACTAATTCAGAAAATCACTAAACAAATAAATAATCAAAGAAGAACAACAAGCCCTGGAGGGGAGGGGCGTGCATCACTATCCAGAGCTGCTGTAACAAAAACTAGGAGACAAAACCGGGAAGTGTGACCCTTATGTAGGTTTAGGGGGAAAAAGCAGAACATAGAACCTGTTTTTGAGGAAACCTAGATCTTGAACTTAGCAAAAAAGACTTCAAAGCAGCTATTATGAGTATATTAATAGAACAAAAAAAAAATCCATGTTTAAAGAATTAAATTAGGAAGGTGTGATGCAATGTCTTATCAAATAGAGTATCCGTAAAGAGATATAAATTATAAATAAGAACAAAATGTATATTCTGNCATTAATAAAAAACATATTAAAAAAGCAATATATGCCTAAC